GAACTGAGCGGAGAGGGGAGCATGGAGAGTGGCCCTGGGCCAAGGTGGTTCTGAAACAGTCGCCCAAGGGTAGCCACTGCTGCCGCCGGCTGGGTCCCTGACAGATCCTGTGACAGCCCTGGTCGAGCCTTTCAGAGGCGACCTGGCCCAGCGCCTCCACTGTCCCCCCCCCCCCCCCCCCCCCCCCCCCCCCCCCCGCCCCCCTGCCCAGTACTCCTGGGAAGGCCGTGCTGCCCCCAGAGAAGACAGGACCCACTCCTGGGCCACCACCATAGAGGATGAGGTACCTCTGAGGGACGCAGCTAGACAGCTGTGAGTGTTACAGTGTCATTTCACAGAAGGACACATGAGTTAACACCACGGAGCCGAAGCGAAAGGGACATCGTGCAATTGAGTAAAACATCCTGAGAAATCAGGACCATACGATATTTTGAAAATAGACACCGTTTTATGATGGAAGATGTGTTTGTGATTCACAGCCTCTTTTCGTTCAGCCGCGACAGCCAGGCTGTCCCCCTTCACCTGCTTGTCCTTCAAAGCCTTAAACAGCCGTGTCCTGGGCACCATTCTTTTCCTGGACACAGAGGTAGACCTTGGTGGCCACCAGTGCCCAATCTGTGGTACGAGATTCTGTGATAAGCCCGGCCCTGGGAACGGTAGAGCAAATACCAGGCCCCAAAGTGGGAACAGAGCCTTCCAGAAACTATCCAAGTGCCCTGAATGGGCAGAAAGCCAGCGCCACACGCTGCGTTTTGGGACGTCTTCCACTTGTAGCTCACAAGTGGGGCTGCTGAGTGCCACGTGGTGGTCTTGTTTTGTTTTGTTTGGGGCTTTTAAATCAGAACGATTTTCTCCAAGAATCATCATGACCCAGAAAGTTTCCTCAATCGCATTGCACCATTCAGCTTTCCGATCTAAAACATGAGCTGCGAATCCGTGGTGTGGAGAACAACGAAAATCCTTTCTGCCTAGAAGCGTCTCTCGATAAACATTGCTTATTATTTGGAATGAACGCGGGGAAGAGGAGGTTGAAATGCGCCTTTCTGGCTTTGCCAACAGACATCGATAGTAACAATCTTGAGGACGTCACTCTGTGCATTAAGATGTCTGCTGCTTTTTGCTCAATAAATGGTACAGAATCAAAGTGAATTGAAAACTGCACTGCAAAGCCTGTCGCTGGGTGAAGTGGGTACCCCTAAATTATTAAGGTTTTCTTTTTTTTTTAATTTTTTTTAACATTTATTTATTTAAAAAAAATTTTTAACTTTTTTTTTTTATTTATTTTTGAGACAGAGAGAGAGCATGAACGGGGGAGGGGCAGAGAGAGAGGGAGACACAGAATCGGAAGCAGGCTCCAGGCTCTGAGCCATCAGCCCAGAGCCTGACGTGGGGCTCGAACTCACGGACTGCGAGATCGTGACCTGAGCTGAAGTTGGACGCCTAACCGACTGAGCCACCCAGGCGCCCCAACGTTTATTTATTTTTGAGACAGAGAGAGACAGAGCATGAACAGGGGAGGGTCAGAGAGAGGGAGACACAGAATCCGAAACAGGCTCCAGGCTCTGAGCTGTCAGCACAGAGCCCGACGCGGGGCTCGAACTCACGGACCGTGAGATCGTGACCTGAGCCAAAATCAGGAGCTGGACACTTAACCGACTGAGCCACCCAGGCGCCCCTCTCTAGAGCTGTTGAAACATATGTACACGCGTAAGTGCCAACACATGCATCCAGCTTTAACATCTTAAGAGGTTCTTTAAGCAAGTCTGTCACGCGACGGGACTGTTCCCGGAGGAATAATTGCGAGAATACAGCGGGTTGCTTACAGCAGGGACAGTGGAGATGAGTTTACTTCCTTTACGATCACGATGGGAGGCTCGGCTCTCTTTGCCTTCCCAGAATGCAGCGCCAGAACTCAGGAATACTTCGGTCACCTCCTCTACTTCTCACAGCTGGTGTTTTCGTGAGGCAGGCCCAGACCCGGGTTGGCGGGGTGTGGGGTAGACTGAGGCAAGCCTGGTAAGAGGCACCGTTCTGTGAGTTCGGCTCCAGGGTGCCCGGGTCTTGTACCATCCGGACCCTGCACCAAGGCCTCTGTGCCCTCACCCTCTCTCCCTGCCTCTTCTGTCCTCCACGGTGGTGCCAGATGCCTCGGCCCCGCCACCTTTTACGTTCTCTGACCCCGTCCAGTTTTACCATTTCCCCTCAGAGTTTGGGCCCATTGTAAGACTCTTGAGTGACAGATGAGTCCCCAACTCCATATCCCCATCCAGGTAACTCCCAGATGTCATCCCTGTGCCCACGCCTGGTCAAGGCGATTGACTCCTGTACAAAATCTCGCCGTGGCACGGGCCTTGGAGAGCTGGGGTCACGTCCTCCTTTCTGGCTGTGGCACCTTGGACAAGTGCTCCTCCCCTGCTGAGCCTCAGCTGTCCTTATCTGTGAAATGGAGGGCTCCATCCCTTCTGCCGGCAGGACTGTTGCGAACAGCGGTGACGCTAGCACGTCTGAGGTCCCTGCCGCAGCGCTCGGTGTGTAGGGCATGCTCAGTGAGAACTGTTGTCAACTCTGCCCGAGACCTGCTCCCCCCACCCCTTCCCACCTCTCTCCTGAGAGCTCAGAGCCCCAGCCCCTCAGCCCCTCACAGGTTGGCTTCTACCCCCAACTCCATTCAGGGGGCGCTCAGCATTCCCGGGACCTACCTGGCGGCCAAATCCAGAGCTTTCCGCGAGCCTCACGTCTGTGATGCCGTTTGATAGAAGCGAGCACCTTCTCCCTCTTGGAACCGCCTCCTCCTGACCTCTGCTCTCCCCGCTCTCCTCCTGCTTCTCTCCATTCCTGTTCTTTCACTTCTGCCTCCGACCGGCTGAGAGAGCGAGAGCTGGCTAGCCCCGAGCCTCTCTCCCAGGAGACCCCCTATTTGTGAATCGGCCCTGGGCTGCTCCATGAGATGGGGGCTGGGGGGGGGG